CGGCCGTCGTGCAGTCATGGTGAGCGCGGGTGGCCCGGTCCGGTAGGGGCGGATGGCGGCATTGAGCTGAAGGGGTAGGGGAGTTTCAGAGACCGGTTTAGGGATTTGTGGGCCCACTCGGGGGTCCTCGGCAAGAATGGACCGAGGTCTGTCTTGCAGGCAGGACGGGAGCTTGGGCCATCCGAAGCCTCCCTGGCGGAAGAGGGCCCCGGCAGAGCCTCGGGGAAGGCTCCGGGCGCTTTTCGCCTCTCGCGGGTGTGACCGACCGGGACACAGGCTGCCCCGCCGCCATCTCTGGGCCCGACGGAGATTTTGAAGATGTACTTGGGAGAGGCCTCAGGCCTACCTGGGACCACTTGGGGTCCCATGCGGGTTCTGTGAGTGGGCTTTGGGGACCTCGGGTAGCGGGCTCCATCCGGAAGCTCCTCATTTCTGTTGAGAGGTCAGCCTGTGACTACGGCCTGAAGCGTCCCGGGTGATGGGCAGCCTGGGGAACTAGGGCCAGACCCCACAGCCGCCAGCACATCCCCAGACTCAGCCGTGCTCACGCTCCTTCCCATGCAGAACTCGAACGTCGAGAACTTGCCCCCCCACATCATCCGCCTGGTGTACAAGGAAGTGACCACGCTGACTGCAGACCCACCTGATGGCATCAAGGTCTTTCCCAACGAGGAGGACCTCACCGACCTGCAGGTCACCATCGAGGGCCCTGGTCAGTTTGGGCACACTTCGGGATTTGTCACTGGGCTCAGGTGCTAGGGACAGTGGTGGACACAACCTTTATGGTGAGCGCAGTGTGTGGGGCAGGATGTCACTCCTGGCAGTCATGTACCTTAATACATGAATGCTTGGAAGTCCCGGTCACAGTCACGGAGAGTGTGGTGGGGTCTTTATCTAGGGTGGGGCGAGGCCGGCAGATACTGCTTTTCTGGGATGGGCATGGGTTTGGTAGGAGTGGGAATATCATTAGCAAAAACCTGGAGAACAGTCCATGTGATGTCACCTCAGGGCCCCCGGAGACTGCCTGAAATGAGCCAGGTGGGCACTGTGGGGACACAGCAGTCTCAGTAGGCACGGTGATGGTCGCACGGGGTTAACTGCAGAGCTGCATGAGGTCTTGTTTCATGCAAACTCCGTCTCTGTTACCACCTGAATTTCTAGAGTAAGGAAAGAATTTACAAAAGCATAGGGGAAAAAGGTCTACCATGGAGTGTCAAGGGAGAGAGCCAGAGACACCCTCCCTGAGCTGGTGACCAAGCCATTCAGGTCTTGCTGCTAGGGAGGTTTGGGGACGGAGATCAAGAACCATAGGACTGCTCCTAGAGAGACACTAAGGCCACAGAGCTAGGTCCTGTATAGGAACAGAAGGAAGAGCAAATGGTGTAGCGGTTATGGGACAGATATTTAGGGCTTGTAGGCCTGGGAGGAGTTTGGGAAGGAAGGTGATGCCAGATTTTTTTTTTTTTTTTTGAGTGGTTTTTGCTATAGGGTTTGTGAGCTCGCTGGAAAGAGAGGCAGAGACATAAAGCGAGAAATCACCCCCCAGGGGTGATGGCCACGCTGTAATCCCTTCTCCTCCATTCTCCTCTTGGGATGTTGGACATACGTGCACATGCGCCCGGCGTGAGTTTAAGCCACCTGGTCTAGGACTCAACCTGCCAACTACATGAGAGTCCAGCAACATAGCCATTACACCAACTGCTGGTCCTGCTGATGCCAGATTTAAAGCAGGGTGTGACGGATCCCTACGGAGCTCCCCTTGACTACAAAAGGGCGAGTGGCTCTAACGTGGAAGTTGGAAGCTGGAGGGGTCGGCCTTAGAGAACCTGGAGGGCTGGCGTGGGAAGGATAGCACTGTTCATCCCGTAGTTTTGATGCAAGCAAGTGGGTTGAGAGAACTGTTTACTGAGGCTCTTGTGCACTTGATAAAATGGGGGTCGCTTGCCCAAGGCTTCCAGTTAGATGCCTTTCTAGGAAGGCTAGTGGGGTGCTCAGATTCCTTCCTCCTGGAAGGGCCATGTGATCTGCCAGTCACTTGGAAGAGATGAAAAAGGCCATTCAAGGGGTAGAAACCAAGGCCTGCACAATGGGGTGGGGTATACTTCTGAAATGGAGGAGGGGTTTCCTGTTGCCCCACTCCCCCAACCCAGTCTCTAGCCCTTCCCTACTCTCAACAACAGGCACCTATCTCAGAGCCAGACCATGGAGACTGGGTCTAGGGGTGTTGCAGGGTACCCAGAAGTTCTGGGGCTCCTGACCAGTACCCCTTTCTTTCCCCCCCCCTCGCCCCTGCCCCAGAAGGGACTCCATATGCCGGAGGCCTGTTCCGCATGAAACTCCTGCTGGGGAAGGACTTCCCTGCCTCCCCACCCAAGGGCTACTTCCTGACCAAGATTTTCCACCCAAACGTGGGCGCCAATGGTGAGATCTGCGTCAATGTGCTCAAGAGGGACTGGACAGCTGAGCTGGGCCTCCGCCACGTGCTACTGGTGAGTGTCTTCTGGGTGTCAGCAACAGCTGAATCCATGGGGCTTTGTTTTACTTTTTAAAATCAACTCTGAAGTGTTGGGGAGCTTTCACATAAAAATCCAGTTTCCTAGCTTTTCTGGGAAATTGTACCAGGATTGCCAGGGTACCCAGGTACTGTTGAGCAGTACCCAGAGTTTCCTTGCCATGCATACAGGACAGGTTTGCAGTGTAGTATCTGAAAGGTAGATAGAAAGTAACCATCTGTTGGGACCAGCAGGTGGCATGGTGGTTAAGGTGCTGGACACTCCCACATGGCTGACCATGGTTCGAGTCCTAGACCTGGTGGCTTGCTTTTTCACTTTCCCTCTTTCTCTCTATATATATATATGTATCTCTCTGGTCAAATTAAAAATAAAATGAATGAATAAAAGTAAATAAATAATTCTTTAAAAAAAAAAGAAAGAAAGTAACCATCTGTTTACAGGTTTTGTTTTTGTTGTTATTCTTTTTTTAAAGAATTATTTAATATGTATTTTCTCTTATTTCTTTTCTTCTTCTTTTTTTTTTTTTTTTTTTGGAGGGGGTCCCCCCCTCCGCTATAGGGCACGTGCGCTCGCCAGACAGACAGAGACATAGAAACAGAAAGCAAGAGATCACCCCCCAGGGGGGATGGCCATGACACAATCCCTTCTCCTCCATTCTCCTCTTAGGATCTTGGGCACGCACGCACATGCGCCCAGCGTGAGTTTTAATCCACCGGGTCCAGGACGCAAACCGCGGTCAACTATGTGGGAGTCCAGCGACATAGCCATTACGCTAACTGCTGGTCCCTACTCCCAATGCGAGTTTTAAGCTGCCGAGTCTGGAATTTGAACTGCGGTCCACTACGTGGGAATCTAACAACGGCATTACCCCATGTGCTAGTCCTTTGCTTTTTAAGAATGAATTTTGCTGTAGGGCGTGTGCACTTGCCAGAGAGAATGCAAGAAATCACCTCCTGAGGGTCTGGCCATGCCATAACCCTTCTCTGTTCTCCTCTCGGGATCTTTGGCACATTTGCACACGCACCCAGCATGAGTTTAATCCGCTGGGTCTAGGACCTGAACTGCAGTCGACTGTGTGGGACTCTAGCGCTATAACCGTTATGCCATCTGCTGGTCCTGTGTTTCTTGTTTTTAATTTTGCTAGAGGGTTGGGGGTCAGCAGGTGTCATGGAGGTTAAGGTGCTAGAATCCCATATGGTGAACTGTGGTTCCAGTCTTGGACCTGCAGCGTGCTTTCTCGTTTTCCCTTTCTCTTATACACATGCCCAATAGCAAGTACAGGGAAGGAAAAAAAAAGAATAAAATAATTCTTTTAAAACATTTCTAGAGGGCACAAGCTGTCAGAGAAAAAGGAACATGAGAAGGCACCCCATGGGGGGTGGTCACACTGTAGCTCCTTCTCCACTCCTCTCTCCTTCGGGGATTTGGGGCACATCAGGCATGTCTTGTCAGGGTGCTGGTCCTGGGACTTGAGTTGCGCGGTCAGCTATGGAAGACCCAGCCACCTTAACCACCACACCGTCATCTGACACTTATTTCTGTGATAGAACTGATGGGGGTCAACACGTGGTGTGGTTTAGGTGCTGGATTCCCACACAAGCGACCTTTGAGTCTTGGACCCGGTGGCTTGAAAAATCACAATAAATAAGTAAATAAAAATACAAATGTTTTAAAAAGAATTTATGGGAGCCAGAAGGTGGCATAGCATTTATATTGCTGGATTCCCACACAGCTGATTGTAGTTTGAGTCCCAGTCCAAGTGGTTTGAAAATCACCCAGTGATTCCACATGTATGTGTGTGCCCAAAATCCATAGAGCAGAGAGTGGAAAAGAAGGGACTGCAGTGTGGCCACACCCCTGAAGAGATGGTTTCTGCTTTCCCTCCGTTTCTCTCTAGTAGCCGCATGTGCCCTATCCAAAAACCTTAAAGAAAGAAGAAACGATTGATAAAATTATGTTCCATGAAATCATCTTTGTTGTTTAGTCATGGGGTGTGGACACTTGCCAGAGAGAAAAGGGGGAAAGTGAGAAATCAGCCCCGAGGGGGATGGCCACACAGTTCCATCTCCGTTCTTCTCAGGGTTTGGGGTATACACACACATGCCTGGCTTTTTTTTTTCCAACACCGAGTCGAGCCGCACTGCGCCGTGTGGGACCCAGCTGCCTTCACTGCACGCCACTTGCCGGTCCGCCGAAGCTCACCCTTGGAAGTATGCATCTCGGTGGTTTTAAGCAGTGACGGTTTCTGCAACTTTCCCCACTGTCCTGATGTCCGGCATTTTCATGAACCAGTGTTCTCAGCAGGGGGCAGTTTTCATCTTTGCCCCCGGGGACATTTTGGGCTGTCACATCTGGGAGTTGGGCACTACTGACATGCTTGACATCCTGCAGTGCACAGTGTGGCCTCAGTGTCACACCAGGAGCCCCTGGACCATGCTGGTGCTCTGGGTCTCCACAGGCTGCTGACGGCACTAAGTCACCTGCCGCCTACCATAAGCTTAACACATGCTTTAACTGAACTTGTAACGAACCTCTGGGGCAGGTGATGGGGAAGGCCCCCGCCTTCTGGGGGCTTCCTGCAGCACAGGGAAAGGGTGGAGCTGGGAGGTGAACAGACCCCAACCTTTCCTCCCCCTGGGGTACTGGGCCCAGGGCCGGGCTTGCTAGCTAGATGGTCTGCCTCAGGCCCATCAGAGCCAGGAGGACTCGGCCTCCAGCATGGAAGGCGTGGTGCCCGCCGACCCTCAGAGTGCCTGCATGGGCCTCAGTATCTCCCATCACCTGCTCAGGGCCCAAGCGTGTGCCTTTGTTCCTGGAGGTATCTGGGTTCCCTTTCAGAAGGAAAGTGGGGGGAACAGACCCACTGCAGAGGCTTCAGCGGGGACTCTGGAGGCCTGGCTGCTGGTCATTTCTCAGGGACGAGAACCCTCACTGTGAGCTTCACTTAGTCCTTTAGCGTGGCCTGCGGGTGGGTGTGGTGAGGGTCTGCACCCTTTGAGGGTCGCCGTAGGGTACCCATCAGGCTGCCAGTCTCCTTCAGTCTCGTCCTGATGCCTCTGTCTGTTAGGGTTGTCCACACCAGCTGGAACCGTGTGGCTTGAATTTAGGATTCCTAGTGAAACCTGTTTCAGCTTGGGGCCAGCAGGTGGTGTGGTTAAGGCATTGGACTCCCACAAGGCCTATGCGGTTCAAGTCCCAGACCTGCCAGCTTGAAATCGCTCTGGCCATGTGTGCCCCAAACCCCAAGAGGTGGCTGGAGAAGGGTTTGCAGCCACCTAGCATCCCAAGTGACCTCGGGCAGGTCCTATCTCTGCCCTAGGCCTCCACCCTATTCGATTGGGGCTCTGAGGTGGTGTCGTGCGGTCAGGTGACACTGAACAAGGTGAGAAGGGTATGGGTCTGAGTGGGGCCCCGTCTGCTCTTGAGCCGAGTGGAGGCAGAGGCCACAGCCAGTTCAGAGGCCATAAGGCTAGGCGGCCATGGGCCTGCAGGGTCTAGCCCTCCTGACCCAGGCCCTCTCTCCTCAGACCATCAAGTGCCTGCTGATCCACCCCAACCCTGAGTCTGCGCTCAACGAGGAGGCAGGCCGCCTGCTCCTGGAGAACTACGAGGAGTATGCCGCCCGGGCCCGCCTGCTCACTGAGATACACGGGGGTGCAGGTGCGGGTGGGCCCAGCAATGGCAGGGCTGAGGCTGGCCGGGCCCTGGCCAGTGGCGCTGCAGCCTCCTCCACTGACTCCGTGGCCCCAGGAGTCCCGGGAGGGGCAGATGGTCCCATGGCCAAGAAGCATGCAGGCGAGCGTGATAAGAAGCTGGCGGCCAAGAAGAAGACGGACAAGAAACGGGCGCTGCGGCGGCTGTAACGGGCTCTTCCCACCCCACCCGACCCGTCCCCTCCCTCCAACTCTGTCTTTAAGTTATTTAAATTATGGCTGGGGGGGGGGGGGGGCGCG